AAAATGATAACTGAATTGGAAGCCATTGTCTACAAATTCAAGAAGCAATCAAATGAACTTTAGATAATCCTTTTAATGGAGGATTTCAATGGCATTTCCATTAGAGAACATGTTCAGCAAAGGATGAAAGCCAGAGTTGCAATCATTTGAGACTTCTTGGAACAAGTATAAAAAAATAGCTCGTCACTTGCACGGTTTAGCCAGAGAAACCGGAGCGGTTCGGCAGGGCATTCGACAGATGATAGACGAAGGCAAAAGAATAGTCAACCTGTTTCGGGTCTAGAGGATTTAGTCAGAATATACCTTTGATGTTTTTGTCTCTTAAAGATAAAACACTTTTGTCCCAATAAAGATTATTTATAATAACATACTTGTTTTCGGATCAATGCCTCGAATATTTCATGCATTTTTGCATTTTTCATCTACATTTTATTTTTAAGCATTTTCATAAATATGAAATTTCTTAAGGGAGGATTCGATGAAGTGGTCCTAATCACATGACACCACATGGAAGCAAGATTTTAACAATTAAAGAAAAAACTGAAATCAATACAGTGGGAGCCTGGTCAGCTGATTGTAAGATAAAGCCTGCCAGGATGATCTGAGAACAAAGTCCCCATATCCTAAGGGCTATGATGTTGAAACTATTTGCAGTTACTACATAGAAAGATCCAGACATTCCTCTGAGAACTGTAAGGCACTGAAGCACAATATCCAAAACCTGATGGGTTCAGGGGCATGGAAAATCGAAGAAGGGGGCATTGTATCTACTATTTTCACTGAGAGCATTATTTTGTTTGAACACTTTTTGATCTTTCATGTTTGCTTAATCTTTTAAACGATTGAATTTGTGCTACCTTTTAAGGTGGAATAATTGAACAAATTTTAATCTTTAGTTCTTCGAATATTAAATGAATTAAGGATTCTTTTAATTCTTCAAGAATTATAGATTTTTGACATATGTCAAGATTAGACCTTTCTTATCCTATCTCAAATCCCAAAATAAAATACCTTGATTCTTTACCCAAAATAATTCATGATCATTACCACAAGACCATATTTTGACATTACCACCCTTTGAAACTTTTGAACCTTTCTTTGAGTCAATAAAGTCACACCACTGTCTTTTTAGACTCAAAATTGACTTTTTTATACCATTAAGACCTAAGTCATTGAGTTTTTCATTTGAACATGCGACTTCTTCTAACTCGGGGCATTTCACAGGGAGCCTGAACATTAAGACATGTCGGGACCAAGAAGCAGAAAGAAGAATTCATTCGAAATAATTCTATCATGCATTAATTACATTGTTTTCATGTAAATGAAATTAATCATGAAAATCTATCCTCCTGGGGATACCTCTTCTGTGAAAACTTCCATGTATGAAATGATGAACGAATTTCTTTCTTTATCCCTTCACAACAGGAGAAAATATATATCCCTTGTGCCCCGTTTTGAGCCTATAGTATTTTTCTTCTGATTCAACCCTAACCAAGGATCACCCTCCACACTGGGGGGCAAGGTGGAAAGAATCTGCTCACATGAGTGAAGACATCAATCTAAAGGAGATACCAAAAGGTGAACCAAACGCCAAGTGCGAAGATCCAATCAGAACAAAAAGAAAAAAAAGCAAAGAGAAAATAAAAAAGTAAAAAAGTGAAAAAAGAAGATAAGACACATATGCGAAGATTCTTTCGATTCAAATTACGCATCGAGATTTAGATTGATCAAGAACAATCATTCCAGAATCACTTCACTCGAAGTTCATGTAGCATCCAGAGAAAATCAAGAGAAACACATATGAGCAGATTCAAATTGGGCAAGACAGGATTGAAGGCATCATAATGAATTGATCTTTGGTTCGATACCCTGAAACACTTGTTTGGGCCTATTTATCATTTTCTTTCATAACCATGAACCATGACCTACATTACGTGCCTTAAAAGTCCCTTCTAATCATACATGAAGTTCTGAATAGAAGAGACTATCTTCATATTTCATCCCGCCCATCAAGATTAATATTTATTTGCAAATAAAAGTGTAATTAATATATGATAGAGAAAAATAACAAAGGGGGTTCAAGACGTAAATTCCGAATAACGTTTTGAAACGAAAGGAGGATTCGAGTTGAAAACCTGAAAAGGTGGCTCGAATATAAAAATTAGACAACTGAGGCGATCGCACAAATTCCTTAATAAGGCATCGCACAATCCAAGCGTGACCATGAAAGCTGGGAGTCGGAGAACACTTCCAGTAGAAGAGCATACAAGCTACCTCATCAAACGTTTTAGCATCAAATAAACAAAAATGCCAAACCTTAGACCAAACACAATAACCTGAGACTTTCTTTTTTTTCCTTGTTTAACCATTTCCCAAAGATAGCTTTGATCTTGGAACTTGTCAAATAGCTATAATTTATTAAAGGATTAACAATGTAATTAATTCTTTGATATCTAATGAACTCTAGTTTTATGATTCGTCACAATTGTAAAACCGTGAAAGGGGCAATATTTTTAAAACTTTTGATTAAACATTTTTCAAAACTCTTTTAATTGATATTTTCAAAACTTGAAAATAAAAGAGAAAGAAAAACATTTTTTCAAATAAGACAATCTCTCTAGAGTGGATCTTAGTAAATGACATGTGGCTCTCAGACACAAAACTCATGCTTAGAATCAATGGTAAAGCAAGAAATGAGGAACAATTGGGGCATCTTTAAATATTCAATATCGAATATTGGGGCATCTTTGGGGATTCAACATCTTGATGCAAATTATCAGATATTCTGAAGGCCTTTCCTCCACATGCAGGAACAAGCAGACAAAGAATGAGGCTCCATCCAGGAGATAAAAAAGAATTAATTCATGTTGCATGCATCTTAGACATCACATTTATCCTTTTTAGCATACATAAGTTTTAGCAGCTTTTTGAGTCAAGTGTCAACTTCAAGACGAAAGATACTCGATTCAAAAGCACATTCAAAAGTTGAGGGTAGTTGCTCAACCTCACAGCGAAGGGGTGACTGTCTGACGATAAAACAACTTTTTGAGTCTCGTTCAGATTCAATTTCAACTTCACAGCGAATGATATTGAACTCGAAGAGACACAATTTGTTTGAAATTGAATTTCAACTTCACGACGGAGGATATCCAATTCAAGGCTCAACTTCACGACGAAGGGTCCATCCATGATTTCAACTCCATGAAGGAGGATATCGTGCCCACACTTCCACGGTTTCAACTTCACGACGAAAGGAATCGTGCTCACCAGCAACATTTATTGGAATTCAACTTCACGATGAAGGATATCCAATTCAAGGCTCAACTTCACAACGAAGGGGCCATCCATGATTTCAACTTCATGACGAAGGGAATCATACCCACCAGTAACATTCATCTTCAGAAACAAGCAGATTATCGATCGCCTTTGAGATTGTTTCTCTCGAAACAAGGGGTCGTCTCGCTTGAGACTAATTTACTCAAAACAAAGTTTTGTCTCTCTTGAGACAGTTTCTCTTGAAATAAATCTTATCTCTCTTGAGACAGTTTCCCTTGAAACAAATTTTGTCTCTCTTGAGACAGTTTCCCTTGAAACAAAATCTTTGAATATGTTTTCTTTGAAACAAATTTCGTCTTTCTTGAGACAATTTCTTTCGGAACTAAGTTTTGTCTCTCTTGAGACAATTTCTCTTTTAACAAATTTTATCTCTCTTGAGACAGTTTCCCTTGAAACAAAGTTTTGTCTCTCTTGAGACAGTTTCTCTTGAAACACAAAAAATACACTTTGAAAATGTTTGCCTTGAGACACCTAACTTTGAGTTCGATTACACTCAGCTCCAAGGCACATCATTTGCAACATAGCTCAAGACAAGAAGGGTTATTTGTCAACCAAATACCTTCGAGTTCGACTACGCTCAGCTCCAAGGCACATCATTTGCAACATAGCTTAAGTCGAGAAGGGCTATCTGCTAGAGATGCACATAGCTGAATTTAAATTCGATCCGGATCGGATAAAAATCGATCCGGTTTTTTCACTAAGCCAAAAAATCGGTTTATAAAAAAACGAGTTCGGATCATAACCGGTTTGGAGGGCCGGATGATGTAACCGGTGTAACCGGTTTTTAATCCGGTAAAAAATCCGGTCATCCAATTTTTTAAACCCCAGACCGGATTTTTTTGGGGATAAAAAACCAGTTTTTTATCCGGTTTTTAATCCGATAAAAAATCCGGTCGTCCAATTTTTTTCCAAACCAGTTATACTATCCGGTTTTAAAATATCCGATCCGGTTTAAAAAAAACTAGTTTTTCCCAAATCCGGTTTCGAATATTTTTTGCACAAAATCGGATATTCAGATTTTTTGTGCACCTTTACTATCTGCCAACCAAAGACCTGACGAGTTCGATTTCATTCAGCTCGATGACAGCGATGAACTACTTTTAGAAGAATTTTCAAGCCTAAATCTTTAAACCGAGAAGAAGACAAAGACCCAATTCCAGGAAGCCCAATCACATTTGATAACATCGGACAAAAACTTATTGTCTTTTTTCGTCTTTGCCCTATTTTGTTAACACAAAATGTGCAAAGAGATGCAGCTGTAGACACCGTTTTTGTCCGGGTCTACAAAAATATTTTATTATATTATTTATTTATTATTATTATTATTAGTAATATTTTTATTTTATTTTTTTGTAGGCCCTACACTCAATAACCCCGATTTAGTAAGATTCAGAAAACAAACCAACGTATTTGAGTCTTATTGAAACACTAAAACCGAAACAATTTGAGTCCAAGTAGGACTCTAAATCTGATCTAAAAATAGGTTTGTTTAGACTATAAATAGACTCAAGCATCAAGAGGAAATGACATAGAGAAAAACGTGGAACCAAAATCAGAGGAGGGAGGATATACGCCACTGTGAAACAGAAAAAATGAAAAAGAAAAGTTATTCTGGTCGTAGGATTGCTTGTGATCATCGGCTCTGATTGCTTTTCTTTTCTTAGATCCATCGCTCCTCCATTTTTCTCATCTCCTCGTTTGCCCGTCTCTTCAATTGAGCAATACTACAATGAGAGGGTCCTGCCTTCAATCATTCATGATACTTTGAAAGCCGTTGTTGCTCAATACAATGCTAGCCAGCTCATCACTCAGAGAGAGAATGTTATTAAGGAAATTCAGAAGATTTTGACCGAGAGGACAACTAACTTCAATATTCAACTTGATGATGTGTACATTACAAGTCTGACTTTCGGGAAGGAATGCACTGCTGCAATTAAGGCTAAACAAATGGCTTTTGCTTTTTAACTTGTTTGTTTAAAACATAATAAGCCCATGTGAAGTAAGCCATGGATTTATTCTTCTTTCTTTTTGTTAAATTTATTATTATTATTTTTTATTTTATTTTATTTTTCCTTTGATGTATTTAATATTTATTTATTATTTCTTATCTAACATTTTTGACTTTTTAAGGGTACATTTTTCAATCGATTAGAGGTAAGTAGATCGAATCGAATACTTTTAAATTTAAATTTTAAATTTTCGCAACTAAGGCAACCAGCAAATTAATTGATACCGAAAGGGCGATTCAAGGGTGCTAATCCTTCATTGACCGTAATCGACTCCCGAACCCGACACATTCAGGTACAACGCAGATAAGGTAAGATGGTGTCTGATCTACCTAATATCGCTTTAAAATAATCGGTGGCGACTCTAATCCCACTCAATTCAAGTCGAAGCCCAATTTCAGGCCCACCGAAAGAAGGTTCCGACAATAATATAATATAATATAATATAATATAATATAATATAATATAATATAATATAATATAATATAATATAATATAATATAATATATATAATATATAATATAATATAATATAATATAATATAATATAATATAATATAATATAATATAATATAATATAATATAATAAAGTAAGAGAACGTGAGTTTCAAGTTACCGCTTCAAGTTTCATAAATTGTGAATTCAATATTGGATAAGCTTCTACAATGTATATAAATAATCAAAACAAATCTCTTTCTAGTATTTCAATTTTAATTATTCCCCATGAAATTAACTTCGAATACAAAGAAATAGCCTCTATGGAACTGAATAATTCTCTTTTATGTTATTTGCAGGATATCACTTATGGTTTTATGTCATTAAAGATTTCTTACAACATTGTATGTATCTCTACTTGTAAGATTTAATGAGTTATGTCGCAGTCGTATTTCGAGTGAATCATGAATTGAGCTTCGACTTGAGAAAATAGGTTAGAGTCGCCACCGATCATTTTAAAAATATTTAGGTGGATCGGACACTCTCTTACCTGATATGCGTTTTACTAGAAATGTCGAGTTCGGAAGTCGGTTACAGTCAAGGAATGATTAACACCCTTTGTACTACATTTTGGTACCAATTAATTTATCGGTTGTCTTAGTTACGAAAAATTAAATTTAAATTGAAATATAAAAATTCGATCCAAATTAATTAAATTTGATTGGTTGAAATTTCTTCTAAAATGTAAAAATATTAGATACAAAATAATAAATAAATATTAAATAAATTAAAGAAAAAATAAAATAAAATAAAATAAGAAAATAAAATAAAATAAAATAAAATAAAATATTAAATAACTCTCTCGTTGGTACAAGGATCAACATTGTCATAAACATATCAAATTTTATTTTATTCATGCTTAAAAAAACAGAACTAAAATATTTTAAATTATTCATTCCAAAAAAATAGGCTAATTCCCATTAAACCGTATCCAAGATCTGATTTAAGTTTCATGTGAGTGCACAAAATTTCACATGGCAATGGAAAAAAACATTCTGGACTTTCAAAAAACAATAAGCATCATAACACATCCCATTAAAAGTATAAAACATACCAAAAGTACCGTGAAAGCGCTAAATTCGGGGACTGTAACCCTGCAAGTGATGAACTATAGGAGACAAATATACTATTTTTTTCCAGAACCCGTTTCTTTCTCGTAGCTGGTCAGAAAGAGTGGAGTGGAGGCCAGGCTGAAGAAGGAACACGGAGCAAATACCTTCGATTCCTTGGTTTGGGTTATGGTGTTTAATTTAGTACTCGTATTTTCTTTTCTCTCTTTGTTTGTTTTCTGGGTTTTCTTCATCTTTCTTCTCAGCTGCCGGCCGGCCGGCCGAGGTTTAAGGGTTTCCCTTAATCTTTCATTTTCTAAATGATCAGATCTCATTCGTGGAGAAGTAACGCTAGAGATCTCCATTCTTTGTAACTTCGGATAAAGTCCCAGAAAACACCCCCCGAACTAGTTGCTTAGTCCGTACAACTCCTGCAAATTATCAAATGACTCCCGAGAACAAGCTCTGAGCAAAGGGGAAACAAGCCCTGAGCAAAGTAAAGTTGTTTTGGCTTTTAGTATTGAAATAATTGCGCAAATCCAGGAAAAACTCCTGGGAACCAACGATTTTTTGTAAATAAAAACAGAGAGAGACCCCCCAAAGAGAGAGAGAGCTTTTAATATAATTGAGTGCAGAGTGCAGAGTGCAGAGTGCAGAGTGCAGGGAGAAAGTATGGGGACGTGCATTGTGAGGATCAATCATAGGGCCGAGATGCCACCCCCACTCTCTCTATGTATTTTTTTAATTTTCAACTCTCTTGTTATCTTTTTCCATTCGTCAAAACCTCCGTTAGCAGATTTTCTCTTGAACAATTTATTCGTATGTGATTTTGAAATAATTGTGTTTGATTAATCTCATAATTTAAATTTTAATAAGTCATTTGAATCGAGAGAATCTTTGCATATGCGTCTTATCTTTTTTTCTTCACTTTTTCCTTTGTTTTTGTTTCTTATTTTATTTTTCTTTGTTTTTTCTTTTATTTTTTCTTTTTTTTTTTTTTCTTTTCGTTCTGATTGGATCTTCGTACTTGACATTTGATTCAACTTTCGATATCTCGTTTGGATTGATGTCTTCACCTATGTGAGCATATTTCTTCCACCTTGCCCCCAGTGTGGAGGGTGATCCTTAGTTAGGGTTGAATCAGAAGAAAAATACTATAGGCTCAAAAAGGGACAACAATGGATATATATATACATATATAGATAAACGAAACAAAGCCGTTCATCATCTCATACACAAAATTCCTCACATAAGAGGTATCCCCAGGGGGATAGATTTTCAGGATTAATTTTATTCATATGAAAACAGTGTAATTAATGCATGATAGAATTATTTCGAATGAACTCTTGTTTCTACTTCTTTCTCCCAACATGTCTCAATGTTCAGGCTCCCTGTGAGATGCCCCAAGTTGTGTATTAAAAGAGTGCTCATGTTCAAATGAACAATTGATCAATGCCTTAGGTTTTAATGGTATAAAAATGTCAATTTTGAGTCTAAAAAGACAACGGTGACTTTATTAACCCAAAGAAAGGTACGAGTATGACTCTTTGTATATCTAAACGATAAAACAATGTTCAAAAGTTTCAAAGGGTGGTAATGTCAAAATCTGGTCTTTTGGTAATGACCATGAGTTATTTTAGGTAAAGAATAAAAGTATTTTATTTTGGGGTTTTAAACAGATAAAAGAGGTCTAATATTTCCATATTCAAAAATCTATAATTCTTGAAGAATTAAAAGAATCTTTAATTCATTTAATATTCAAAGAACTAAAGATTAAAACTCGTTCTATTATTCCACCTTAAATGGTATCATAAATTCAGTCGTTTAAAAGATTAAGCAAACATGAAAGATCAAAAATGTGTTCAAACAAGATAATTCTCCCAATGTAAATGGTAGATGCAATGCCCCATTTTTCAATTGTCCATGCCTCTGAATCCATCAGGTTTTGGATCTTGTGCTTCAGTGATTTACAATTCTCAAAGGAATGTCTAGAGCTTCCTATGTGGTAACTGCACACAGTTTCAATATCGTAACCCCTAGGATATGGGGACTATTTTCTCATATCATCCTGGCAGGGTTAGTCATACAATCAGCTGATCAGGCTCCCACTGTACTGATTTCAGTTTTTTCTTTAATTGTTAAAATCTTGCTTCCATGCGGTGTAATGTGGTTAAGAACACTTCATCGAATCCTCCATGAAAAAATTTCATGTTTATGAAAATGCTTAAAAATGAAATGTATATGCAAAATGTAAAAATGAATGAAATATTCGAGGCATTGATCCGAAAACATGTCTGTTATTATAAATAATCTTTATTAGGACAAAAGTGTTATTTCTTAAGAGACAAAACATCCTAAAGGTACATTCTAACTAAGTCTTCTAGACTAGAAACAGGTTGACTAGTCTTATGCCTTCGTCTGTCACCGATTGAATACCCCATCAACTGCTCCGGCTTCTCTGGCTAAACCGTGCAAGTGACGAGCTGCTTTTTGTACTTGTTCCCAGAAGTATCGAATGACTGCATCTCTGGCTTTGTCCTTTGATGAACCTGTTCTCTAACAGAAACGCCATTGAAATCCTCCATCAAAGGGATTATCTGAAGTTCATTTGATTGTTTCTTGAATTTGTCAACAATGACTTTCAATTCAGCTATCGTTTTACCATCTTATTCTTGTTTTCTTTGAAGGGACTCTCCAGATCAGTAACCTTTTTCTCGTCTTTCCCCTGCAACCTTTGTCAACCCATTTTGGAAAAGTTGACTTTTGATGTACTTGGTATAAATCTCGGTCCATTCTGAGTCCTTCATAATACAGTAGAGTGATATACTTTTGATTGAGGGTACCACGTCTTCATGGTTGAATTGTCTTGCAGATTGTCTCCCTGACCATAGCCGGACCTCTGCGTTTTTTCCCTATTGTATTACAACCCCTTTGTCCATCAATGCAAATTATTTAGGTTTAATGAACACATTTTAGTGGATCACACCTCTTTTGAATGATGCAAATAATGAAAATAGAATGAAAGAGAACAAAAATGAAAAGAGTTAGTAAGATAATAATAAGAATCAAAACAATAATGAAAATAAAAAGTCATACCCACTGCTTATGATTCCTACCCATATATGATCTCTCTCCCACATTTAATTTTGAACCAGTCATAACCTCATAAATTTCTAGTTCACATTTTGAACAGAAAATAAAGCAATAAATAATCTCAAAGCATCATAGGGTTTGAAATGAGGTTTTGGGGCGGGTTCTAATTCCTTGTAGTCTTCCGGTTTTGGTTCTAAAGAAGGTACCCGAGTTCTCCTTGCCGGTGCCCCCTCGGGCTTGCCAGACCCTTAGTCCGAAGCTCATTACATGCTTATGTGGACTAAGTTAAACTCGAGATGATACATTCCCTTATGCCCATACAG